GCGGGTCTTGTCCTTCTTGGCGAAGAGGATCAGGGCGCGGGTGACGCCGAAGAGGGCGTTGACGACCCAGACCAGGAGGATGAAGGCGGCGATGATGGTCTCGAGGCGCAGGCCCTTCTCGAAGGCGGCGATGACCTTGTCGACGACCTCGGTGATCTTGTTGGAGGTCTTGTCGCCGGCCTCGGCGAGGAAGCTGTCGTTTTCCGACGAAGTGCCGTTGATGGAGGCGGCGGCGCCGCGGGAGAAGACGTCCTCCGGAAACAGGGGAAAGTCGACGTGGGCGTGGTCGTGGACCCAGGTGAGGCCCTTCTGGACGCTGGCGACCTTCAGGCCGATCAGACAGTTGAACACCTCGAGGAGCGGGTCGTAGAGGATGGTGTCGCCGAAGGTGCCGTTCAGCACGTCGATGGTCTTGTCGACGAAGGTGTTGAGCGTGTCGTTCAGCGCGGTGGTGCTGGTGTTCACCCACCCCAGGACGTTGGTGTTGATCTGCGAGTCGACGTGCAGGATCGCCGTGTTGGTGTCGTTGGCCCACTCCGCCGAGCTGTTGGCCAGCGCCGCGACGACCTTGTCGGCGAACTGGCCCACTTCCTCGGAGAGCTCGGGCACGGTGCGTTTGACGGCCGACAGGAGCACGTACTGGCACAGGCACGAGAGGAGCCCCGCCAGCGCCAGGCACAGCACGAACAACGCCGCCGGCGTCGTCGCGTACGCGATCGCCCACCGCACCAAGATCTGCGCGCGGCTGTTGCTGAACCGGCTGGCCGCTTGGATCCCCGCCGCCGCCGTGTACGGCCGCGACACGATGTACACCACGTCCATCGGGTCGTGGGCCTCCTTGCGCACCAGCTGCGAGCGTTCCTTCATGTGCCGCCAGCGCCGGATCTCCTGCCACGCCATGGGCACGCAGGCCAGGATGGCGGCGATGACGAGGATGGCGATGAAGATCTTCCGCGCCGTAAGCGCGGCGTCGGTGGCGCCCTCGAAGAAGGAGTTGATGCCGTCGTTCGCGTCGCAGAAGGTGAGTTTCTTCTTCGCCGGCACGGAGAGCGCCGACGCATTGAAGCTGTAGTTCCCGAGGGAGCCGTTGACCAGCTTCTTGACTTCCTCGAACGGGAAGCGAAGCACGTTCTCGGTGAAGTTGCTCACTTCATCGAAGTTGGGGATCGAGCTGTTCAGCTTGTCGAGACTGGCGTCGATGGACGAGGAGAGGTGGGCGTTTTCAAGCGTGTTGATAGAGTCGGTGAGATTCAGAGTTGGGACGCTGGTGCCCAGTGCACTGAGCACGGTGTTGACCTTTTCGAGGAAGCTGTTCAGCGTGTTTTCGAACGTGTCGACGGTCTTACCGATGTCTTCGCCGACGGTCTTGATCGTTGAGTTGAGGAAATCGGCGGCGTCTTCCAGGACGCTGACTCCGATCTCGACGGCGCCTCGCACGACCAGCGTGAACAGGCAGAGATAGGTCTGGTACATGACCTTGATGAAGAAAATGACCAGCTCTTCTACGGCCGTTAGCGACAGCGACAGCACGCTTTCCAGGCCGTCGATTGCGGCATTGACCGTCTTCACCGCCACCTCGTTGACCCCCTGTGCAAGATAATGCGGCATGGAGGCCATCGTGCTGCCCATGGTTTCCACGGATGTACATGCCGACAGTGCTTCACTCTTGGCCTTGGCCATGTCGCTCTGTATGCTCGATACAGCCATCAGGACTCTTACCAGGACTAAGAGCAGCAAGATGGTCCATCGGTTGATCCATGACTGTGACAAGCGGGCTCGTAGACCCAGGTAGGGTGTGATGCCGTCCGGGTGAAGTGGGATAATCCGACCAGAGCCCCCACTAGGATCGTAGGCGCCGTAAGGTGGCAGTAGGGGGAATATGTTGCGTGCAGGTCCGAAAATCCCCATGATAGCGATTGACTGGGAGTCTTGCCGAGAGTGCTCGTTTCACTGCAGACACAGAGGATGATGGCCAATGAAATTAGAAGCAGATTCAGTATGTGTCAAAGGGAATGAAAATGATAGAGAGCAGTAAGAACAAGATAATCCTGATCCAGCAGCGAGTTATCTCAGAAGCACACAAGCCAGTCTATGATGCAGGGTCTAGTATGTCGGGGTAATGATTAAACAAAGGAGATTATCGAATGATATAAGAGATCAAGAGAACGCAGTGTCAATAGGAGAAAGGGATTAACACAGGGAAAAGTCCATCATTCAAGAGAGTGCAAAACAATGGAGACCCAAACAGGGGGGGCCAGGCGGGCAGTCATTGTACAATATATGGGTCTTTTCTTTCCACCAGGACAGCTCTGCGGGATAAACACATTCATGGCGCTGCTACAGTGAGACAAAGATAGTAAGTCATGATTGTTTGGGGCTCCATCGCCGCGCCAAAAGGAGGTCACCACTCAGGACAGCGGTACGGAGTTCGCAACAAAGACTAGAGACCCGACGGGGATAGGCAGCTGATTTCAAAATATCTGCCGTTCTTTCTTTAGGTAGCTTGGTTTCATCTGGCGCAGAGATCGTTCCCGTGCAGACAAGCAGATAGACTAGGTGATCTGATGGGTTTCTGCAGCAAGGGCCCGGTCGAAGATAGCAACGGCGCTTAACACTTCGGCCCAGCGCAACCGCTCTTGTCCACTCATTCCGATCAGTCTTGCAGAATACTCAACTCGGAGCCCCACAGCGATCGCAAGACTAAATTAGCCATAGTATTGTGTTTAGGGTCCCTTTTGATCTGGGGTTGATTGGTGTTGGACTGCGACGGCGCTTCCTGGTCCGTGGTGTTGTAGGCAGCAGGCAACGGGGGTTTTCTGTCATCCGACTTTTCTTAGAGACATTTGGCTCTGAGAATGAGTACGTTTTGAAATCAACAAGTACTCAGGCATTGACTTGAATGGTGCTTTAAAGTCTTCGCCTTTCGTCAAAGTGAAGGTGGTTGTCTGAAACCGGGAGTCAAGCTGCGACAGAAACAGAGACAGGACTGGCGGCACGTGATGGCCAACTCTTTACTCTGTGCGTCAAACTGCATCAGGAGTCTGTCTTCCTTCATATTGCTGTTAGACATGATGTTTACTTATTGAATTTGAGCTCGATCTGCTAGAATGGAACCCATGGAGTCAAAAACTCATCTGGTCATGTATCCCAATGATTACTACCAGGTAATATGCTTAGAAGTAAAAGATTCATGCTTTGATTATGTTGCCTAGTATAGAGATACTCTGAAATAATACAGTTCTCATAGCTTATTAGATTGGACTTCTCGCGGACACAACCAAGCGATAATTCTGCAGCGCATGCCAGTATCTCACAGCATAGTGAAGAACGACTACAGGACGGATGGCAGTGCTCATAACAGCCCCGTAAGAGACACCCGCATGGTGCTGCGGTGAATCAATGAAAAAGGTTTCTGAGCAACACTTGTGGATGGCGTCCTTCTTTCTCTCGTACTTCAGTTCATTCGAAGCTGTTAGTCACCAAGCCACCAAGAACAAGTACAAGTATGTCGAACTGTCCATTTGTGGTATGAGCTGAAGCACCACTTACCGGTATATCAGCACACTTGCATCTACTAGACAGATTAGCACTGACAAAGGACAGAAGTCAAAAGCATAACCAGAAAAGAGAGAGTCTCACCAAGCAGCTTGTGCATCTAACTAGCTTCACCTATCCTTGTCCTTTCATATCGTGCAGACCCAATGTGATATCAAGATGGCCAAGAGTCCTCGAGGCAACAAGCAGAGAGCAGTGGCAGCCACAAACTCAGGCGAGAAGGCCGGATCGTCCAGCTTCCTGGCCGAGCTTGACGAAGCACTGGGAAGCCGGCCAGTCAGTTGGTTACAGGCCGTGGAGACTCTGAGCCAGAATCTAGCAACGAAACCTCCAGGTCACGGGATCACCAAGTCGATCGAACAGACAACCATTCACCACAACACAGATCAGAAAGATAACAACACAGTAGAACGTGATCAAAGAAACACCGCCTTTGACAAAGATATCTCTCATTTCGAAAGCAGTGGTGCCAGTGAGCTATTCCTCTACACAACCATCACTCCACCTCTCCTATCGCCCCATCCCTCCCTCACCGTAACCTTCATCTATGCATACTCTATAAGATGGGTCGTCCAGCCAAGCTAATGGAGTCTATTGGGCAACCTACAGGCAGTTCAGAAGATACCTCAGTAGACAAGAGATCTCGCACTGAGGCGATCGACTTGCTCCGCGCGAGAACAGCCACTCGTTCGACTCCCACTTCAAGCCCGACCCCGACGCAGACCCCATCTACACCCGTTGTAACGGTGCTTGATACCACACCAGCCAACCCAGTTCCTTCATATCCTTTCCCTCCTACTGCCACTTCATCCGAGACCCAAGTTCATGAGCAGCCAGTGAGGTCGCCTGCCGCATCATCACAGGATAAGGAGTCTGGGCAGCCTTTGGACGTGTCTGCTCCCATAACATCGGAGGGTATATCTTCTGAGGCGCCAGTGGCCACCTCTATCCCTCCAACACCTGAGAACAAACACTCGAGCTCGCCAGCCCGTTCATCTTCATCTGAGGTTCAGACATCGGAGCAGACACTGAGCTCACCTGTTCTTTCTAAACCCGAAGACAAGCCTTCTGAACAAACTTTGAGCTCAGATGTTCCTTCAAACCACGAAGACAAGCCTTCTGAAAAGGAGTTGAGCTCACCTGTCCCTTCGAGATCTGAAAACCACGCCTCTGGACAGCCACAAAGCTCTTCTGTTCCGTTGAAATCTGAAGATAACCCTTCCAAACAACCAGTCGACCCAACTACCCCTTCACCTTCCAAAGATACCGCTTCCGAAAAGCCATCGAGCTCACCTATTCCAACAACCAACAACAAGCCTTCCGAACAGCCACAGCCACAAACACAAAGCTCACCTCTCCCAACCTCATCGTCCCCCACCCAGCCATCAGAGCAAGAACAGAGCCCATCTCACAACCAACCCCACTCAAACCCACCCACCCCAAAGATGGAGCCTGCGAAGTTATCCAAGAAGGCCAAGAAGAACAAGGCGAAGAAGAACAGAAAAAAGACCAACCGTGCAGCAGCAGCACGAGGAGGCGGTGGTGGTGGTAGTGGAGCGGGTACAGGCATAGCCGAGTCCAGCAACCTGTCCATCAGCGGACAGAGCGAGGTCTCCGACGCGACGACCGCGCTGGCCAAGTCTGCCAACGAGCCATCGATGAAAGAAGCAGAGACCAAGAGCATCGGCAGCAACGGGGGCAGCAGCAGCAGCAGCAGCAGCCACGAGGCCAAAGAATCGGCGGCGATTTTGAACAAACTGCCTGAGCTCGTCAGCAACACTAGCAAACTCAATCAGTCGGACGTCAAGTTGGCTACCGCTACTGCTGCCACTTTCCGGGATAGAGGTAGTAATAGAAATCCCAGAGCCAATCCGGATACTACTACTGCTGCTGGTCCTCAGGATAAAGGTGGCGATAAGAGCACCCGCAAACACGATCCAGAAACTGCGGCCAAGATCGTAGCCATCCAGGCGGCCATCGACCGGCTGAACGCCCTCAACAGGAACCCGTCTGAGTTCATCGAGCCGATAGAGGGGCTGCTGAGAATCGAGCCTTCGGCCGGTTTGCAGTCGTACGCAGGTGCCTTGTCTGCCAATGCGAGAATCGGGAACTTTACCGTGATTCCCTGCCGTGGCCGGCCTGGGGCTGCAAGGTCCGAGGTACCTCACGAGACCGACGGAGAAGAGTCGACTCTCACGAAGGACTCCGACATAAAATCTGATTCTCCACCGCCGTATTCGAGGGATCCTGAGCCAAGCACGCCTCAGGGCAACACTGTTACCACTCGAGCCCAGCTCACCCCCATCCAGGAAGCCACCGCCGAAGGCCAGAAGAAAGTCAAAGCGAGTGATGGTGATAATGATAAATCCGGCACTGAGGCAGGAGGAGGAGGACCAGAAGGAGGTGATGGGCACGATCTGACCCCCAAGTCCACCAGCACGACCTCCACCGCATGGACAACCAGCCAGCAGGCTCTTCAGACGACGCCCCAGACCGCCGTGACCTCTGCGCCATCCACCAAGACAAACAAAACCGGCCCCCAGCATAAGGCCAGAGGAAATAATACTACCACCACCACAACGCAGTCCAGCGCCAACAAATCAACCCTCCCACCACCATCCACCCACCCCCAAGTCCCCAGCAGCAGCCACGCGCACCCCTCTCCACCTCCACCGACCAGCACATCCCCACTCAGCACCACCGCGAGCACAACCACCACCAGCACCACCCATTATCAGCAAATCTCCAACGTCCGAGGCGGCACGCTCTCCAGCCAAAAGCCCGAGGGATTTTTCTGGCAACTCGACAGCCACGGGTTCCCCTGCGCGCTGCGCCACTGCCCGAAACGCTGCAACTCCTGGGACGGGGTCACGGTGATCTGCCCGGGGTGCGGTCCCTTCTCGGAGACCCGCTACTGCTGCCGCGACCACCTCCTCCAAGACATCAAGACGCACTGGCCCGTGTGCGGCGACCAGGTCTTCGTGCACCCGTGCCGCGAGAGCACGATCCCGCGCGAGGTGCGCGAGGGCCCGCCCCTGATCCCCTGCCTGCACAACTACGACATGCCCGAGCGCCACCGCCAAGCGGTGTACTTCCGCATGAACGCGCGCCAGGGCGACTACTTCATCTTCGCCGACTGGGCCGACTACGTGCGTGCCGGGTTCCCCGAGAACACGACCGCGGTGCGCTGCGCCAAGCGCGTGGTGTACATCGTGCGCTTCGAGGATCCCGAGGAGAAGGATCGGTTCCGGCGCGTGCTGGCGATTTGTTTGTTTGGTATGTTATTGAGCCAAAAGTTTCCCTAGAGTCGTTAAAGAAAGTGAGTTGGGTGAAAAAGTAAAGTCAGGGCTGACTTCTTCCTAATAGCGACGGTTGAGGTTCATGCGCTGGTGGACTACATGTACCGCATCATTCGTGATCACCTCCGCGCCGCGAACGCAGCCAAGCAGCTTGAGGCCGCGCTACGCTACCAGATCCATGCGGAGACAGGCGTATCCATCCAGCAGTACATCACGGGCGAGCGTCACGCATGTGCCACGGATTGGGACGGCCGCAACCGCCGCAACTGTCCGGACCAGGTGTGTCGGTCCGAGTATCGTCGACTCCTGGGTTCCTTGGGCGGAGGCGGTCTACGTGAGGTTGTGAGGAACATGGAATCGACTTACTGGGTTCTCCGCGCAGCCAGAACCACTCATCCGACAGTCAAAGACCCGAAGAAGCGCATGCTTGGTGAGGGCTTCGAAGGGGTGGCGGAAGAAGATCAGAGGGTTTATCGACGTGGTGATGGCTGGGATGGCGCCGGGACCGGCAACATGGAGATCGAAGGCATGAATGAAGGTTCTGAAGAAGCATGATTGACGTCGATGCCTGCCTTTTTCGAATCCTGGCTCCAAGTCTCTGTGTTGTCGTGTCGTCGGACTTCCTGGTGCGTGCTGTTGCAGTTGACGGTGGGGACTTTTCTCATCTATTTTGCTCTGGGTCAAACTAAGGAAAGGTAAACGAAGTGTCAAGCGGAGGTTGCTTTGTACTTGTTAGTGCTCCGGCAGGATGAAGATAATGTCATGTAAAAACACAGATAGCAGATTGCAAATCTATTTAATTTTGCTCAGTCCAGCCTCCGACACATGAAGTCTATATTATCGTAAATCCGTTGTTGAAACCAGTGATTACCAAACATCGATGCACATCCACACGATCGAGAGTCGTGCAGTCTAATTACTGCTTGATGTACTTCTTCAAGCCACGTAGCCTCTCTTTAGCCGTTTCGAGCACATCGTCATTCTTGCAAACGGCAAAGCGGAGATAATCCTCAGCAATGTGGGCATTGGCATCCGTGTAGAACTCGGTGGGAGGAATAGCTGCAACTCCGACCTCGTGAATGAGGAACCAGCAAAGCTTGAAGTCGCGAGGCCGGCTGGCCACATGGGGAGGGAAAGGGTAATCCTCAGGCAATTTCACAGAGGCCATGTTTGCAAGGACGAAGTATCCGCCCTCAGGATCCGAGTACTATATGATTCAGTTGGTAGACTTATAGGATAATTCACGAAGTCATCACTTACCGGAATGTTGAGTTCGTCGAAGACCTGGCAGAAACGCTCCATTTTTCCCTTCATCTCCTTCCTACTCTCGTCCCAAAAGCCGACCTTGTCTGCCTGCTCGAACGCCACCGCGGCAGCTTCTTGGAGAGGTGAAACACTGCTGTAGCAGATACGAGTGTGGGCGCCGGAGACATACTTGATCAGGTGCTCGGGTCCGATGAGGTAACCCACACGCCAACCGGTGGCATAGAAAGCCTTACCAGCCGAGCCCACGGTGAGGGTGCGCTCATAGAGCTCCGGGGACAACGTAGCAATGCGGGTGAAGGGAACGTAGTAGAGACGGTCGTAGACTTCGTCGGAAAGAATAATCAGGTTGTGTTTCACACAAAGCTCACCAATGCGCTCGAGTTCGGCGCGGGAAAAGACCTTGCCAACGGGGTTGTGACTGGTGAGGTTAGGCTTGGTTCAGTCCATACCAAGATGGATACGAGCACTTACGGTGAGTTCAGAACCTAGCAATCTACAGTCAGTTGAGTACATTTACGGAAGTATCCATGTGCCTTACAATCATCTTCGTCTTCGAGTTGATCGTGTTCTCCAGCTCCTGGAAGTCAATGGACCATTCAGCCGCGGAGGAAGTGCGTGTAGCGCCATCCTTGGGTGGGTGAAGCGGGACGTAGCGGATTGTACCACCGGGCATTTCGATGTTGCTGATGTATCTTTGGACGGCGTCAGACGGGTAGTAGAGGGGAAAGACCGTGCAACCTACTGGTCGAAGAATGGCTCGAAGACAATAACCTCGTCGCCGGGCTCGATGAACCCCATGAAGGCGCTCAGCATACCTTGTATTCGGTCAGCTGCGCGTGGTTCCTCGCTTATTCTAGGCAATCCCACCTTCATTGGCTCCCGTCGTAACGACAACCTCGGTGTCCGGGTTGATGGTGCGGCCAAACGAGGGGGAGTAGGCATCCGCCAGGGCTTGCTTGAGACGAGGACGACCCTGAAAACGCGTGAGTCTATGCGACAATGCGCTGTGGTTCCTTGGTGTAGGGATGTACCTTGGTTGGGGAGTATTGGTTGCATTCGACGCGGTCGAGAGCTTCTTTAGCAGCATCGAGAGCAAACTTGGGAGGGTTGTAGCCACTGAAAAGAAAACCTTATTAGTTGCCTACTCCGGGGGCTTTCAAGCTAGTCGGGTACTCACAAGAAACCCTGACCCATGTTCACGATGGGCTGAACGGGCGAGGCGGCAGCAGCCTCATTGACAATGGACCTGCGCGCCGGTCAGCAATTCAGGCCGCAGCATAAGAGGTTTTAGTTATGCTTCGTACCAAACATCCTGTTTCTGACCAGCGACCCTCTTGGCCGGGCGAAATGGGTCGGGGCGAGCCGCAGTGGCCGACATTGGACGTGTGCAAGCTGGATAGCGGGGGAGTGCGGAGGTGAAGGCAGAAGTGCGCAGCGAAGATGTAAAGGGCTGAACCTGAAGAATTGTAGTGGAGGGAAAGAGACGTAAGCCACGGAACATAGAGGCAAGCAGTCAAGTAGAGGCAGTCAGGAGTGAAGCAAGCAAAAGAGGAAAGGAAGAGAAGAGAAAGAGACGGGACTGCGGCAGAAGAGTCCGGGGATGGAAAGCGATGGTGGGGAAACTCAAGCTTTCCGCTTTGGGTCGAACCGGAAGTTATTGCGTGCTTGGCCTTGGCAATGAGTACCTGATAAGAGAGAACTATAGTGTAAACATGCTACAGCAGCATCATGGAGGTCAATTGTTTTGATTTTGTGTTGACGCGAGCATAAATCTTGTTGATAGTGTCGCACAGGAATTCCTTGCCAACCCTGGGCATTCAGGCATTCAGGCACCCAGCTTCACATGTGTCATCGGAGATTGACCGGATTAGTCAGCCACTGGCTCTTATCGCCGCCGTGGCCGACGCGTGGGGAAACGCGTTAAGCGTCTTCTCAATGGCTTCAACGGTAGTCGACTCTATCCCCGATAGCTGGTCTATCAGATAGCGCGCTACCAGCCCAATTCACTGACTTATCAGATTGCTCGTCAAAATGGTATCGTGTCCCATCTGCAGCAAGTCCGTCCCCAGCTTGAAAATCAACGACCACATCGATTCCGATTGTCAGAACTTTATCGACGAGCCAAGTTCCAGCGCCGAAACCCCCTCCTCGCAAAAAGCCCCAGTCCCGACCTTTTTCCAGCCAGCGTCTGCCCGGAAGGCTTCTACCCAGAGCAATGGATCACGAGAACCCATTACGGATTCCTCCCCGCTGCGCAATGTCAACGGCAAGCGGACGGCCCCGCTAGCGGCCGAGGTCGCCGTTGAGACAACCCATAAACTACAAAGTAATGACCTACCGGCAGAGCCCAAGCGTCCCAAGATGAACGCTTTCCAGAAAGCAGCCCCGCTGCCGGAGCGTATGCGCCCGCGGACACTGGACGAGGTCTGCGGCCAGGAACTGGTGGGCCCGACGGGGGTGCTGCGGGGGCTGATTGAGCAGGATCGCGTGCCCAGTATGGTCCTCTGGGGAGGGCCTGGCACAGGCAAGACGACTATTGCGCGAGTCATTGCGTCCATGGTGGGTAGTCGCTTCGTGGAGATCAACAGTACCAGCAGCGGGGTTGCGGAGTGCAAGAAGATCTTTGCAGAGGCCCGAAGTGAGCTTGGTCTGACCGGCCGAAAGACCATCATCTTTTGCGACGAGATCCACCGCTTCTCCAAGTCGCAGCAGGATGTCTTCTTGGGACCGGTGGAAAGTGGCCAAGTGACGCTCATTGGCGCCACCACAGAAAACCCATCCTTCAAAGTGCAGAGCGCATTGCTATCCCGATGTCGCACGTTTACGCTTTCCAAGCTCACGGATGAGGACATCAAATTGATTCTGCAGCGGGCGCTTCGTGTGGAAGGACCCAGCTACTCGCCTACTGAGCTGGTGGATGACGAATTGATTGATTACCTGGCACGATTCTCCGACGGCGATGCGCGAACATCTCTCAATCTTCTGGAGCTCGCGATGGATCTTTCCAAGCGTGCAGGGATCTCCAAGGACGAGATCAAACGGGCCCTGACGAAAACGCTGGTGTATGACCGTGCGGGCGACCAGCACTACGACACCATCTCTGCATTCCACAAATCCATCCGAGGAAGCGATCCGGATGCGGCGCTCTACTATCTTGCGCGGATGATTCAGTCGGGCGAAGACCCTCTCTACATCGCGCGACGGTTGATTGTGGTGGCATCGGAGGATATCGGGCTGGCCGACAATAGCATGCTCACGCTCGCGATTTCTACTCACGCGGCCGTGGAGCGAATCGGGCTCCCGGAGGCACGGATCAATCTGGCACACGCGACGGTGGCGATGGCGCTGTCGAAGAAGAGCACGCGATCATACAGGGGCCTCAACAATGCTTTTGCGGCCCTGGCAGAACCCGGAGTCGCTGGGCTGCCGATTCCGATTCATCTGCGGAATGCCCCGACGCGGATGATGAAGGAGCTCGGGTATGGGAAGGAGTACAAGTACAATCCCAACTATGCGGATGGGGAGGTGGTACAGGAGTATTTGCCGGAGCCGATTCAGGGACGCAGATTCTTGGAGGAGCTGGATTTGGGGACTCAGGTCGATCCCGATCTGATGAGGTGAGATGCATCCTGGCTGCTGAGGAAGAGTGCCCTTGAACATCTCGTACCTCAGACGTGTACAATTCCACCAAAATATAGACCAGGGCATATAGGAAACAATTGCATACGAATTGATGACCCAAAATCCAAGCCCTGGACAAACAGTCGTAACAGTGTAGTGTGAGAAACCCACTGGGCAATCTAATGTTTGTTCCCGTCTTGGCTGCGCGTCTCCGTCGCCCGCGCGTTTTCTCCACCACCTCCGACACTCTCATTCATTCTTGCGGCCTGATTCTCCTGACCACTTCAACACGCTCACATCACATCACATCACATCCTAATCAACAAACCCCTACAGAAACGACACCAGACTGTGAACCCCCAATAATCACACGGGCAATGAGGCTTAACTACCTCGCCTGAACCAACGCCCTCCCGTTCAAATCAAACCAAACCACACCACCACCACCACCACCACCACCACCAAAATGGCCTCCTCCACCCAACCTTTCGGCTCACGCTCCTACGCCGCCGGCAAACTGCCCGACCGCTCCCTCAACGCCGCCAACGCCCTCCCCTTCAGTGCGTCCTCCTTCTCGCGCCACCGCGGCCTCGCCGGCGGCGGTGGCAGCAGCATCCCCAACCCCGGCGGCGTAGGCGCAGGGGACTTCAGCAACGACCCCAGCAGCAACAAGACAAACCACCCGCAAGCGCAGCACAGCCATATGCCCGGAGGACCTCCGGCGCCGCCCATGCACGGACAAGACACGAACCCGTTGAGTCGATTAACGGAGGAACAGCGGGAGGAGATTAATGAAGCTGTACGGGCGGACCCCTTACCCCAAGCTAGCCCCCTCCCAACCCACGCCCACACCCCGTTTCCCCCCCAGAATCTCTAAGCTAATGAATATCTGGTAATAAAGTTCACACTCTTCGACCTCGACCGCGACCGCCACCTCGACTACCACGAACTGCGCGTCGCCTTCCGAGCCCTGGGCTTCTCCCTCCCGAAACAAGAACTCATCTCCCTCCTCACGACCTACGGCGTGCCGCGGCCACAAGTCCAGCAACAGCAGCAGCAGCAGCAACAACCACAAGCCGCCGGCCAATCTGCTCAGCAAGCCGCCCAGCCTCAACCCCTCCAGAAATCTTCAAGTACAAACCCCCAACACCCATCCAACCTCCTCATGCCCCTGTCCGCGTTCCAGGCGGTCACCGCCCTGAAGATCCTGGAGCGCGATCCGCGCGACGAGATCCTGCGGGCGTTCGAGCTGTTCGACGAGGGCGGGAAGGGGTACATCGATCTGGAGGATCTGCGGCGCGTGGCGCGGGAGCTGGGCGAGACCGGGCTCGAGGAGGAGGAGTTGCGCGCCATGATTGAGGAGTTTGATTTGGAGGGGGTGGGCGGTGTTACGAAGGAGGCGTTTGTGAGTATTTGTTGGCAGTAAGAGTATAAATTCTTGGGGGTGGGGGGGGAGGGGGGGGATGTTTTGGGAAGGGGAAGTGTTGGGTTTAAGATATTGAGGCGAGGGTTGGATGGTTGGGTTGGAGAGGCTTCATGCTTGTTGGGATCCTGGGATCATGGATTGAGGCTGTAGGAGTAGACTCACCACTTGGTTGTCGTTGGTGTGTGGGAACTCTACAGCTGTATAGTTTTGTTATGTGGTCTCAGCTCCGAAAAGCGGACCGACGTCTTTTTCTTTTTCTTTGTTCATCATTTTGGGCATTGGGCGGGCGCCGATTGTATTTTCCTCGTTGGTCGACTTCTCTTGTACTCTCGTTGCTGTTTCACTTGGCTAGTTGTCTAAAAGATATCCATCTCAAGCTGCATGATTGTGTCGAACTCAAGCTTACATCCTACAATGGTATACATACTGTAGCAAGCAACCCCAAGCTTCTAGTATACAAGTTGTGGGGGGGCAATCGGTATTTTAGGAATAAGAAGCAATCATGATTATTCACGAACCTAACTGTACAATGCGGTCAGTTATGACCAATATGATTGATACCCAGCACATAAGATGCACCCCCAATAGAAAATCGAATAGCCACACATCCAAAGACAAACACCCAACACCACCCTAATCCAATATGAAAAGAAGCAAGTGTCACAAATATGAGTCTACAATGCTCATCATGCAGCGCTCGTGTGAATGCACGTTCTACGTGTGTGGAAGAAAGAAAACAAAATCATGCATAGCGCCCTTGGGGCGGATATTGCGGGTACTGTGGTCCGGCTGGTCCGGGTCCGGGGTACGGTGGCGGAGGCGAGGACAAGCCCTGGTATCCCTGAGCCGGAGCATTGTTCGGCCACTGATTCATTGGCGGAGATGAAGCCATCGGCCCGTTCCAGGGCCCGTAGGGAGGTCGGGGTGCAGGTCGAGCCATGGGGCGTGGTTGACGACAACGACGAACCAAGCAGGAAAGCAGGCCAAGAAGCAACAAGCCTCCCACTGCACAGGCGACCCCGATCACGATGGCCTTGTGGTCGTTGATCCAGGATTTGACATTTTGTCCCTTGCAGTCTCCGTTGCTGCAGTGGCCGCCACTACCACAGGGAGTACCATCCAGAAAGTTCTGGTTGAAACCCACGCATTGGCCACCAAATGAGATTGAGTTGGAACTGCAAATCAGCTCGCACGAGGAGCTATATGCTGAGCAAGCATACGTGTTGTTTTCGTGTAGAACGCTGCCCATCACACTGCGGCATTGATAGTCGCGGCTGGTGCATTGGCCACTAGCACACTTCAGGCCAGATCCGCTACTACCACAACTGGTGCCATCATCTTTGTACGAGTCCGAAGGGCATGAGCTGGAGTTGCCGCTGCACGTCTCGGCCAGATCACATTCGCTCCGACTGGCCCGGCAAACCGTGCCCGCAGAAGCATATTGGCACGATGAGCAGCAGCTATCGTTCGAATCATCACATACGGATCCCGACGTGAACTTGCATGTAGTGGGATTGCAGCACTTGTTGTCGCCGCAGCCAGCTTCGCCACCGCAATCACAGTCCTCGCCCTCCTCGACGATTCCGTTCCCGCACTGGCTACCTGTATAGGTAGTGACGCCGCGGTTCGCCGAGAGACAGCTCGACTTGACACTGTTACGGCCAATGGCGGAGCAGATATTCCCGATCGTGCACTCGGAAAACGAGCTAATGTCAGTCCCCGTCGTGGGGTTCATGATATACTTGCCGCTCGCATCACATGTCTTCGACGTCAACGGGCAGCATTGCGACGAGGACTCCAGGTTTTGCGAACAAGTGTCAGAGTCGCAATCGTGCACTGCACCGAATGTGTGGCCGGTCTCGTGGGCAAAAATCTGCCAGCCACCGCCAGAAGAGCGGACGACGACATTGGCACCACTGACGGAGTTATCGCCGCTGGCAGTCACATCCGCATTGCACAGCTGGCCCAACCAAGACACGCCGACTTCGCTGCCGGTCGGACAGTCGCTGAAGAGAGTCCAATACGCGTTGGAGTCACTATGCTGGCCGCGCCACTCGGAGAACAGATTCAGACGGGATGTGAGGTTACCGCTCGAACAGGGCATATTCCATGCAGTAGCCGCGGGCGGGTTCTCGGGGCAAGAGCTCTCTGAGAGGGTCAAATTCCGCAAGCCGATCGAGACATTGAAAGACTTCTCGTAAACGCTGGAAGCACTGTTGACCGTACTAATCACCCATTGCTTAGCCGCAGTCTCATTCTTGAAGGAGCCTGTGAATGAACAGTCCGTAGCAACTCCGATCAAAGCCACTTGCTTTGTGTTGGGGCAGCCCGAAGTGTCACCAATGGTCGACGCTAAATTCACGGTCCCTGAGTTTCCAGAGACGCTGCCGGTATCCGATTGCCGCTTGCTCAGTCCGAATAAGGAGTTCATCGACATGACTCCCCAGCGATCTGAATCCAGATCCATCTGATAGGATGAGAGAACCGGATGATTTGGATCGACGTTAAAGTCCAACTGATCAGCTTGACATGATGTTGATCCCAGCACCGATCGCTTCAGCTCTGTATGGATGCGATACATATCGGAGTCACGATAGACGACCATGTATTCGCCCTTGGTGTCGACAATATCGGCATCCTGCTTGCGTTTCTTCTGTAGGTAGGTCGACTTCAATTCGACATGGTGATTGTCCCCATGCACACTGAATACTCCTTCGAAAAGGGGCTGGTCACCGTCATGCTTGAGGTATACTCTCGCCGATCCGACTGGATCCCACATGCCTTGACCCCGACCGATGAGACTCCTTCCCTTAAAGACCTTGTGATCTTGTCGTGAGATCGGTTCCGCTCGTCGAACATTCCCATCGGCATCGAGGTATTGTACATATGCATCGTCCGCCAGGATGTCATGATTCGGCTCCAGTTCGAGCTTAACTCGTTGATTTTTGTCGCGAAGACTGAAGGTGATGTCAAAGTGTGTCAGATGGTCAACCCGATGCCAGGGCGTCTGAATTGTCGGGTGGTCCAATGTGGAGATGTGTTGAATTGTGTTGGGTGATTGCGATCGAGCTGCGTTGACATCTCAGTTGAATTGACACCCAGCTCCACGGGGATAGAACGAACCTTGCACATCCCAAGCAAAAAGGGATATTGCGCTTGCAATGAACGGGAGGGAGTACGAAAAGACCCTCATGGTCGCCAACGACTGGACTTCACGACCAGCAAAACGAGCGGAAGGTGGAATGTAAACGAATGATTTGCAAAAGAGCAACAGCTGACAGCAGCGGTAAGGAGAAGAAGTCAGATCTAATTCCCCCGGAGTCTTTCTAAGCAGAACATCAGGCAGCCGCCAAGCGTGAGACAAATGGTTTGGAAGATCACTGCGACCCGTTATTAAAGATGGGGGGGGCGGGTTTCAAATCCACTCCTGTATCTATGCCAAGGGATTAATTTGGATTATTGAGTGAAATGACAGCACAATTCCTAGATTCCTTGGTTGGCAGACAATGGGGAGACGAAGCCGTATGCAGCCAGTGCAAAACGAACGGATGAGGGTCTGATATGGTCTGTTGCAAGACCCTGTGGCGGGAGAAAGACGATCAGGGTCTTTCTCTCACATTCACAGAGGCCGAGGGAGTCTCTCTTGGCCCGCAGAGGCGCAGCAGCCTTGGCGGGGAAAAGCGCAGGAGGAACAACAATAAAAACGAATGGAGTAGATGATAGACTGAGGCGGATCCGATCGGATAGAGATCCCCCAAGTCCTTCAAGCACGAGCAGCAGGCCTGACGAACGGCAACAGAAAACAAAACAAACAGAGAGGGTGAGGAATGATGAAGAATGCAAGAATGAAAGAATGAAAGATTGACAGGCGGAAAGAAGATGACTTTGTTGTTGTGGCCGACCACGCCAAGCCCCCGCCCGGCCCCCTTCTTTTCACTACGGGGTCGACAGGGTAAGCGCCGGAGGCTGCACTGACACTATCATTCATATCTTATCATTCTCTCTTTCTATGCTATTAACTTCCTGCTCTGTCTCTCTCTCTCTGTCTCTTGGCTGGAAACCTCATCGGCAGCCACTGCAATTGCTACAGAAAAACGCTTGCAAAATGTTTGAATTATACCATGAATCGAATGCACACATGATGACATCGTCTCCATGGCAATGCGTCACTTCCTGATGTTTAACCCCAAAACCCCAAGGATTATCAATCCGGAGCTGCGTGGTATAGAACATGCGCCTCTCGCGCGAAATGAGGAATCGAGGCACCACAGATCTCACAGGCTATGCAGAGCATGCCCTCTTCCTCATCGCTCTCCTCCCAAGCCACATCTCCAACAGGATGATCTACAACATTCCGGCGGGGTGCCTCAGTTTTAGGACTGGCCTCAGGGCGAAACCCGGCAATGGTTTTCTTTGTCTCTGAAATGGGCACGTCCGCATACTGTGCATGAGGAAATTCATTGGTCCCTGTTCTTTGAGTCTGGAACATCTTTCCGATGTCGCGTCCACTGCTCTGTTTCCTATCGCCGGCCCCTTCAACCATATTCGTTACCGCAACATTCATTAATTGGAGGTCCCAGCCCGATTTCTCCGGGTGCAATTTGCGAAACATGGATACCAGGGAATCATGCATCAATCGCTCTGCCAGAGCATCGATAGCTTCATCTAGGGCAAACACATATGCAGGGAGCGGCTCAGAGCGCGAGGTCCGATGAGCCGGCCGCACACCCTCCGTACCCGAATTCCGAAGCCGCGTAGACAGGCGCAGTGTTCGAGGGCGAGCCAGCCATCGGGTCGAGGACTTCTCCACGGGTTCCAAGCTGTGGACAGGTTGATCAGGCCCTGCATCTACCTCGAGGTCCTGCTCCGTCAGGTCGGTTCGCATGCGGCGGAGAAGACTAGCGGTCAAAGAGACCAATTGCTTCCGAACTTCTTCCAGAGTATCCAGACGCCCATAAGTGTCCTCGATACTGATCTGGGTGGGTACATCGCCCGCCGGGATGACCGGCGAAGGATCAACACCATACAGCAAGCCCCAGACCCGCGCACCAATATCTCGGGGGGCACCTGGTCCGCCTAATATACGGTCCAGCAGGGCTGGTCCCATACCGGAACACAGCCGCACTTCACGAACGGTCTTTGGCTCATCAGACTCTTTGGCAGAGCCAGGGGGGATGGCTGACCTGGCTTGTGCGCCAGCTTTGGTAAGGTAAGCGGTGATTTTCCGAGTCAGCTTGGAGCCCAGCCCGGGAATCTTCCGGATCTCATGTCCATCAAGAAAGGCCACCACATTACTCCCCAATGCGCCTGATTTCGCGTCGTACGGTGGAAGAAGGGTGGTCTGGTTGTTCGGTTTATGTGTGTTACCTACCAACTTGGCGAGCAATTTGGAGGTTGAGATCCCCACTGTGGCCGTGTAACCCAAATGGAACTCGAGTTGGCCTCGCAGGAAGCCTGCCAAGTGCGAGGCCACGAGCAGCCGCGTGTAGAGCCCTGAAACCGCCCCGTTCGAGCTTAGGTCTACAGACGTTAAATTCAGATCCGCCGGGTAAGTGGACCCGTGCTCCTGAGTGGCATTGTAGGTGAAACCCACTGTGGGTTCCTGCCGGTCAAGATGGAAGAACGAGTTTTCCAGATCATGGCGGTTGAGCAGGCCAACGTTGTAATCGATCATCTCGGTCACGTCCATGAACACCTATGACCAGGTTAGAGGTGCCACCGGGGCCCAGACGTGGTACTAAAGATAGTGCATGAACCTGTGGAGGCCCGGCCAACATACCTCATCGAAGCCGAGCCGTTCGACCTTGTCCCCCCAGACGAAAGATCGCAGATAGAGGAAAAGCCGCTTGGAGGCATCGCGAAAGCGGGTCAGGTCCTCGCCCAAGACAATGACGACGTCCGGACAGACCTGTTTGGCTTCCCTGATCAGCTGGAGCTTGCGTAGCCCCCTCCGTCGTGCTTCGTAGTTACAGGTTACCACGATCTGCTTCTGCTGCACGGCCAACGGCAGCGTCTTCAGCACCGGCTGCTCGACCTCAAAGACGGCGGCGTAGAAGCAGTCATAATCCTGCCGGGCGAGAGGCGGTTAGTCGGCCGTCGAGGTCGACATCCTACGGAAGCTTAGGCATGGACATAGGGTCAACTGACAAAGTGCAAGATGATTCGCCGATCGTCTCTGGATGGAGCTGTGGCCATGGACTAATCCGGGTGATGGGGTTGAGAGTTCGACGCGCAGTGAGAAAGATTGGTGGCAGGCAGCACTATCGGCCAACCATGCGCTCGATTAATACCTAGTGTGCTGCAGCCTTCCAGTAGCGTGGTGGAGGAAACTCCATTCGCTGATAGGCCAGTACAGCAAATCCGGTTCCTAAGAATAAACAGCAGGATGCAATGAAGGAATAATGGAGACACAGGCACAATGGTGGACCAGGTACCTAGTTGATAATCACACCCACCTGGCACAGGCTGAGTGTACAGCGATGGATGGTCTGATTGGGTGGGGACAGAAGAGGAAGGCTGGGGGCGTGGCTGGCAGATAGAGAGGTGGCTGGTGCGCAGTGGACCCTGGCTGAGTCAGCTGGCTCTTCTCCCGTGACAGCAGCACTAACCCTGTCTGGGTCTTCCCACCGACTTATCTGCATTCGGCCGAACCCGCTTAGCGCAAGTTCGAGCCAAGGAAAGACTGCAGGAAAGAAGACACTATGAAACACAATGACTGCACCATCATTCAATCCATCACTTGCGTATTCCATCCATGATCTATCCTCTCTCCGCATTCTGGTCGGGACTAGAAGTCGCCAAAGTCGCCAAGAACCGTTCTAACTTTCCAAGTGACAGGAACCAGAGTCGGAGTCACTCTGAGTCTCGTTTTTGTCTCTCTATCCACGCCGCTATCGCCCAGTCTCCACCCTCAAAGTGAGCCCGCCGCGTGTCGTCTACACGCCCGACTGGGCCCGAAATGGACTGGATGGGCCTGTGGGAAAAGAAAGAAGGGAATAAACAGAGAGAAAAAAAAAAAAAAAAAAAAAAAAAAAAAGGAAAAGAAAAGAAAAGACTGGTCGGGTTGGCGTGGGATTGACTATATTTAGACTCGTCGATTGGCACGATAGCTGTCGCTGATAGGCCGATGTGACCTGGACGGGCTCTGCTCTGGCTGCGTCTGGACTGTGATTTAATTTCCACAGCGGCTAATCCTTTGCCATCATCGCCGCCACTCCATCTTTGGGTCGGACTTGTTTTTGGTTCTCTGTTGCGGTCTGAAGACAAGACACACTGCTGCTGCTGCAAGATTTTAGGTGTTGAAGATGATGAAGTTCGTTGTTGGGTTCAAGAGCATACTTACAGAATAACTGATACTCTGACTGCTGTCTAATGTCCATGCCAGGGTGACTATGACTAGACAGACAAATTATGGGGGATCATATCATGACGAGCACGTACTGCTTGATCGCCGGTGTTTCTTAAAATAGGGCCCCGTCCAAGCGCCCACCACCAGTCCAGCCCAGTTCAGTGTCCACTTGCACTTGCACTTCACTGACGGACGGACGGACTGACTGACGATTTTGCCTCTTCTTTTCCGTCACATTATTCTTTCTGAAAATTATGATGAATCTGGTGTCTCTCATGTGTCCCCGCTAAATACCCAGTACAAGAAACTGAATCCAGAACAAATAGCAAGACTACTCACAAGAATCCACATAATAAATAATGATAGTAATAATAATAATAACAACAACAACAACAACAACAACAACAATAACTATCTGATCCTACCCTGCATATAGCCCATCCCCACTCAATATCACAGCCCAGTGGGAGTCGGTCTGCAGCGCCGCTCATCCATTCATCCACTTGCGGGGCGACGTCGCACTCCTCTGTTTCTCCTCCTCTTCTTCTTCTTCTTCTTCTTCTTCTTCTTCCTCTTAACCATCCTTTCCCTCTTTCTTCTTCTTCAACCTCATCTTACATGAACCAGATCTCCTTCCTTTCATCTGCAACTCCTGCTATTGTATCGCAGAGGGGCCCTTGTCGACCATGCTCGCAACCTCCATGACCCCGCCACAGCCGTCCTCCAACATGGCCTGCAGTTTGGCCCCAACGACTAACGCCCGGTCGACCATCACCTCCCGACCGAAACTCACCCTCCAAACATCATCCCTACCCTTGACCTTCGGTACTTCCTCCACGAGCCTGTCGCTCTCACTAGTGGCTGGCTCGACCGCATCCCCCACCGTCCGGAATACCTTCAAGAATGCCTACGACGTGACTGCGCCCGTCTCCGCCACGGCCTCCCCCTCGTCCAAGTTCCCCAGTCACCGGTTCAGCAAGCCCTCGTCACCGTACACCACCCACAACCCGTACCAACTACCCATGGGGGTGCGCAGCATCCTGCGCAACTCCCCGCTCGAGCCCAGCTGCCGTCGCCGGTCCACCTCGGTGGCTACCAATGGCACGACCGGCGCTCCCGCCACGAGGCGGGTGTTTTTCCCGGCCAAGAAGCAAGTCAGTTACCGCTACCCGTTGGAGGAGGAAATTCAAAATGTCCACTACACTGCGCGCCACTCGGATCTCCACGACATGGAGGAAGAGCGTCCGAAACAAAGCACAAGCACAAGCACAAGCACACCCAACAGCGAGGATTCCGATTCCACCGCAAGCAACTTATCGTCGTCATCCGACACAAACACCTCTGACGACGAACCCCCACGCACATCCAAGCACAACCTACTGTCACCCGTGGAACGGAAGAAGCGAAAGCATCAGAAGGCCGAACGGCAGGTCCGCGCGGTCGCCTTGGGAGAGAAGCTGGGGGACATGACACCACAGACGCCGGTGCGCAAACGCGCCAAGAGGCGCTGCGAATGGCGCTGGACGTTAGGGCCGTTGGAGAACCGGGACAGTTCACTGCCTCCTCCCATTCCAGAAGAGCAGGCAGCAGCAGCAGCAGCATCGTCCTCGGGATCCGACTCCAGCCCTACCGACCGGGGCTCCCAACCATCGTCGACAGAGTCATCCCCGTTGCTGAGTGCGACGCCCTCGCACGCCCAATCCAGTCCCAGTTCGTCTGTCGCATTTGAGCTGGAAGGAACCGACGAGTCCATGAAGATCACAATTCACGAACCGCAACGCCCTGATACCGACCTCTCACGATAACCCCAAAGTGACGAACACTTACTACTACTACAACCTTGATGACTTGCGCTTCCGATCACGAACCTACCTCATGCATATAGACGGCAGACGAATTCTCTTCACTTCTTCACATCTATTCCACTTCCATCCGGCCCTTCACTGATTTTTTCTGTCTTTCCACCCGTGGACACATGGATTCCATTTGTCTCACATAGGATTGTCTCAGACATTTCCAAGGCGGTGCGGGCGGTGCGATGATGTCATTGCCCGACCCGACCCTCAGACCGCACCCCCTTATATTTCACTTTCTATATATATATAATTCTTTTTTTACTTAATACATACGAACCAATATCCGCACATGCATGCACGCATGAATGGCGACCATGACTGTGCAGGATTAATTGCACTTGCGCCCATTCTTTCACTCACATTTGTACAGAGTACTGAGTATCTGTCGATTTCCTTGTCCATCATCTCGTCTCCCTTTCTGCCATCAAAAATGACAGCAAATTCCCGGATTAATATAGTAACACCAAGTGGAGACGAGACCACCACCACCACCATATACATGGTATATACCCCGTTGGTCGAAAGAAATGACCCGTCGCTTGTCCAAATATAGATCCGCTGCAGATGATGCCGAGCAGTTAAAAAAAAAAAAAAAAGGAAACTGCCAATGACGCTATCCTGCAGGCAGCACCTTTTTTTGGGGGGGGGGGAAGTAGACCAGCCCTTGCTGCGTGCGGCTCTTTGTTATTACTCTCGAAAGCTTCTTTTTTTCTTTTTTCTTTTTTTTTTGGTTTCGAAGCGTATTCGTATCTGCCCGTAGAGAATATTCAACCACTTTTCGTCCGCTCCGAATTGGACACGCATGTGTGTGTGTACCACCTACGTGGTCCGATTGCTATTGTCTAAGGAGAGGAAAAAGACGTTCCCTGATGAGGGTAAAGGACAAGGTCACTCACTGCAAGGCCACTACTGCAAGGATTCCAGAAGAGTGGGGAATGGGATGGGATGGATGCCCGTATCGTATCGATGACTCTGTGTTTGGGCGCTGGATACGATACCCTCCCTGATCTGGGAGTGTATCTACCGCTATCGGTATTCTTCTTGCTTGCACTATACCGTCGCTCAAGCGATTGTACGCCTGTACTTCGGTCTTGTACAGTACGGTGCCAAGGTGGTTTGGGTTTGTGCGCCTGGACCCTTGGGCAAAATGATGCTCCCCGCTGATAATGTGGTTGACTCACGGGTAGTCCTGTACTGTACGCCACGGGGCTTCTCTAGAAAATACATAGCATGTGGAGGTAAGAAGGGACAGGACTTGGCTGAGGGACGGGACATGACATGACATGGCACACCGCGGCGGAACGAGCTGGGCGAGATGGGATGATGAAGGTTCAATAGTCTGTCTATCTTCGATCTTTCGGATACGCCTGGTTCAACGTTGGTGGTAGATTGTTGGGATCGAAGTATGGTGGGTTTTGGGGGGGCTGTAAGGGGGTGGGGAGGTGATGTATTAATAGAACTGTCTTGTAGGATCTTGGGTGTGCATGTACAGTACAGCACTTCGAGGCAGGTTTTCACTTGCGTGAGGGCTTGGTTATTGGTAGATAGGAGGAAGGTGGTTCTGCGTGACTACTCACTATATACTCATGTAGATGCTTGGCGCGGGATTTATCTGCCCTCCTGTTTGCCAGTCCGGATGACGCCTGGGTTGCTGGTCCAGGATCTATAGACTTCACTGCGTACCTTCGATCTGAGAGCTGGACAGAGATAACCCATAATCGTGTTCTCATTGATAATACCCATCCCATAACTCCATACTTTACGTGCATAAGTAGTATAAACCGAAAGACAAAAGACGTAGAATCATATACAGTACAACACCGCACCGCTAATTACCCGTCTCGGTCTCGATGTCCGGCTCGCGACCTGACAAATCCCCCGTGAACTTCATCTTCATCTTGCGTAGAGCATACTTGGTCTCGTCGCGCGCGAACACCGCGTTGCGGACGGGGCGCCACTGCATCATCCCCCGCTGCTGGCGCTGTTCGCTGCGCTGTTCGGCCTTGCGGAGGACCTCGTTGGTGCCGGAGCGACTGGGTCCACTGCTTGCACTGGCCGTCGCGGTGGTGTTGGTGGTGTTGTCGGACGAGAGACGGAGGTTGCTGTTGACGTCGAAATCGTCGTTGTTGCTGCTGCTGTTGCCCAGCGCGCGTTCCTGCTGTTGCGGCTGCAGGGAGTGGTTAATCTCGTGGTCCCCCTCGTCATCGGCTTCGCTCTCAGAGGAAGAGGAACTGTCGGGGTGAGTCTTGGTTTTCTCCTCCGCGTGCATGGTCCCGTAGGCGGTCGCCTCGACGCGCGGGGGGTTGTGCGGATCGTGCGGCGGGGCCTCTCTGCCCGGTTCAGCGACCTGTTTGCCGTGCTCGTTGAGGTAGGCGCTGGGGTCGTGGCCGAAGGCGCCGCTCCAGTCGTAGCCTTGCTTGTCGAGCCAGCGCTTGCGCTCGCGGGGGTCCGCGTGTTTGAGGATGTCGCGACCGTCCAGGAGGGACTGCTCGTGCAACTCTTCCACTTCTTCGGGTACCGAGGCGGAGATGTGCGGCGAGCGCACTCCCTCGGCGATGCACGCCTCCCACGTCTCGAAGGTCTCGCGCGAGTTGCTGTCGACCACAAACCGCTCGTGCGAGTCGTCGATGCCCGGCGTGAAGCGGCCGGTGAAGCGCAGGCGGCCGATCTCGTGGAGGTCTTCCAGCCCGGGCGACTTCTTCGCCTCCCAGTTTTGCTCGGTGATGTAGTTCTGCGTGAGCCGCTTGCCGTTCTTGGTCGACCAGATGGGGATGTCTATCTCCGTGTTTTCGTTGTCCACCAGGTGCTGCAGCCAGAAGACGGCGTATCCGGCGGCGTGATGCTTCTTTTGGGCGTGGAATTCGAAGACCACAGGAGAGCGGTAGCGATGTTTGACGGGAAGGCGGAGGCTGCGGCGGAAGTTCTCGTCCGAAAGGTCGAAGGTGAGGTTGTTGTTCTCGTCGACGGCGCAAACGTGCTTGGTAATCTTGCCGCTGCTGCCGCCGGTGCGGAGCTTGACCTTGCAGCGTTGATTGAAATTCACAGTGGTGAGCTTCTCGGAGACGAACTCGAAGGTGCCCACGTCCCAGCCTAGCATCTGAGGTGGGAGGCGAGTCTCGACGGAGCGGAACAGGATGGAGATGCGGATGCGTCCGAATCCGATTCCACCATCGAGAGGATACCATCTGGTAACTTGCGAGCTGGTTTGAAGGAGGTCGGAGATCTTAAGAGGCACGACGCCCAGAATGGGATCGTGCTGGCGGTAACGCTGGTCGCGGACACCGACAGTCACAAATGCAGACCGCCAGTCACGAATGAATCGCTCGGTTCCGGCGTTGAAAATGGGCTTGGAGCTCAAGGCTTTGGCGCGCGTGCGGTAGACCTGGGAACATCTTAGTACTGTGCTTTAGGATCGACTAGACGGCGGGGAACCTACCAGTTCGTCGTTGAGAATAATCTTGCAATAGCTCGTGGGCAGGTGACTGCCCTCTTCCTCTGTCTGGTCGCCGTACGGTTTGGCTGGCTCGTACTCGCGACCCTTGCGGTTACCCTCGCTACCCTTGACATTGTTGATCTCCAGATTGACGATCTGGTGTACAATAATGCTAATGATACCACTGGGCCACAAAGGATCAGGAGGAGTGTGAGTAATGGCGTCCTCCTCCTCGCTGCTAATGATGCCCTTTTCGTCCTGGAACTCCTGAACATCTCTGAATTGTTCGGGAAGGTCCTTCTTCTTGCCGTCGGTGCGCAGCTCTGCCCTGAGCTTCGGTTTGCCGAAGAAGCCCACTTCCCAGTGCAGCTCTCCCGGCATCTCGCTGCCTTCGTTAAGACCTTGTAACTTGGACACCTGCGCATACATCTTGCCAGGATGCTGGATCATCTTCCGAATCGGGAGTTCCACCTTGCCGACGATGTCATCAGCAGTCGTGCGGTCCGAGTCCCAGAGTTCAACGCTCAGGCTTTCATCTGCCTTGATAAGCTCAGGAGTAACCAACAAGGCGGCAGTTTCTTCCCAGACTGGGTTCAGGTCGTCCGTGATCACCCGAGTGCAGTACATGGGCTTGCCGTACTTCGAGAAAGACAGGTTGATATAGGGGTCGCTACCACCACCGTAGCTGCCACGCCGATCCTGCTTGCTCAGACCAATTGCCCGGTGAATGCGCACCCACATGACACCCAGAGTCTGCGTCTCCTTGACAATATCATCGCCCTTGAGCAACATGCTAAGATCCATGGTCATAGACTTGGGGGCTGCGAACAGACCGGCGGCTGTGGCAATGGCATAGTTGACAAAATTCGAGATCAAGGGCAAGTTGAGAATGTTCACTCCTCCTTTGACCATTGGCATACATCCAGCCTTGACGTGTGGGAGGCCAACCAAGCTGAACGTCACGTCCTTCACAAAAGGAGCCTCGGGCATCATCTGGAATCTCGCACGCACAGTGCCCACCAACTCAGTCAATTCCACAAAGACGGGAAACGGGACTCCAAAGAGGCCTTTGACTCCGAGGTAGAACACGATCTGCATGTGCATGTTACGCGCCTTGGACGAGGTAGTCTGACCACTTGGTTTGGCATGGTAGGCAAAGGATGCTTCGATATTGTAAAAGTCACCGCCCTCCTCTACGGCGGCAGCTTCCTGGGGATCTTTGTTCTTTACGTTCTCCTCGTGCACTTGTTCCTTGAGCTGCTTCACATGGTCATCGGGCAGTGCGCGAAGACTCAAAATCCGGATGGGGTTGTTGCCCTGGTCGATTTCTGCGATGCGGACATTCTCGACCACCCCCGGCGCCGAAGCTTGCATAATATCTTCAATGGTATCGGCGACGGGAGATAGCATTTCGGGATTTATCAACCCCCAGAACACCCCAAGGAACGAGTTCAGCCATTCAACGGATTCCGGGAGAAGGTTGGCGGTCGCCTGGTTCCCTCGAGTCAGTACATCCACTTGACACATTACAGATGCGAATGTTCTCGTACCATTTGACCCCGAATCTGTTCACTGCTCCATTCCATTTCCCGACCACTGCGAATCACCTCCTGCACCCACAGCCACACACCGCTCGCGATGCAGAAACTGAGGGGAAGTAGACCCCAGAGCGATCCATTGAAGATCCGGCCCAGGAAGACAATCCCCGCCACTATACCGAGACATAGTCCAATCCCTCGCCTTTCCAGCTGATCAAACATCGGCTTGTAGGTGACTGTGGGGGTGGGGTGGAACAGAACGTTGGTTTTCTCGCCATGGATAGGAACATCGGAAGTGGTGCCCTCTGCGATAGGATCTGGCGGTGCGGTGATATCCTGGTTCTCTTTGTATTGTGACAGGCTCTGGTCTGGTGCCGTTTTGACCTCCTGCACCCGGATCAGTATTTGCATCCTCCGCTGCACTTGGATTGTAACTCACCGTTGGTTTGCCGAGGTTGGCATTAGGAACTACGAGCTGTAACCGTAGTTAGAGAGACATTTCCACACTCTTGCTAACGTGCAGGGAAGGCATACCTTGGGATCTTTCACCGCATCCATTGAGTCTTCATCCAAGTCTTCCACCTCGATTTCCTTGCCCGTGGTAGGATCGGTGACCATGCGCGTCTTGCCGGTGGTCTCCCGGGGCTTATGGGGCATCTCCTGGTTCTGAGCCTCGCGCTCCCGCTTCCTGGCCGCCAGGGTTTCTTCATGGGCCTTGCGTTCCTGCTTGTCACGCTCTAAACGGTCCATGAAGTGGCTGATGGTCGGGACCGGATTCCCACCGCTCCAATGTTCACCCATGCGGTGGGTTTTGGGAGATTCCCTCCCGCTGGTAGCCTGGGCCATGGTCGCGTGTCTTGCTTTTGCTCTTGTGTGCTCTATTGTATGGAATCGCGGATCAATCTGGAGGAGTTGTGGACAAGATAAGAGGAGGGTGGTTCCAGGCAATCATTCCCTAGCTTGTTCCAGCTAGGACCTGTAGGTGAATGAATGTAGAGTAGAGAATATAGTGTCGAAATGCAATGAGGAAGAGAAACCAAAGGTAAAATCAACGAAGAGTAGCAATCGGCGGTGGTGAGGAGGTGAAGAGGTGAAGTCACCTTCGTGCTGCCCTACGTCATAGTGGAGAGAAGCAGCCAAGGCCGATCAGCCAATCGATGGGAGACGCGTCCGGGCCTATGCTGGATATTTGGGGAAAGACCAGCCTTATTGCCCACTTTCCCGGGGATCCAGAACAGTCTCCATTCACTGTGGTGGTAGTGATTGACAGCTCTCTCTCTACCTTGGTTGTTTACCTGGAAGTCTCTCTTGCTCCGTCATGGCTCTCGGCGGAAGGCTTGGCTTGGCGCGCGAGCGGACTGCCTCCGGTCGAGTAGTAGAGAACGATCGAGTGATTTGATTAGAACTCATTGTACTGTACTACGAGAGTGAGAGCGCACTCTGAGGTCCCATGTCTACTACAGCGCGATAATGGGGATTGAAGCATAGAGCATGGAGAGGCGATAGGAAATGACAAGGATGCCCCTGCTCGTGCATTGTCCCGGACAGACAACATGATGTCACTTCCCGCTTGCTCTCCCTGTGCTGACATCGGATCAACATCATTTTCACCATCTCCGTCCTACCCATGGCATACACGAATTGGTGGCTTGATATTACTTGGCCCTTGGGTCATGGAGTGTTGTGAGTCTGGTGCAAGGGTGAGTGCGTCCAAATGTGAGTACCGCAGTCAACGGGTGGTTGCATGCTGATTGCCTGTATGACCGTAGGGAGCGTTTATCACTATGGTAGGTCTGGATCGTTCAGCACTTGCTCGATCTAAGCCCTGTAGGATATTGCCAGGCCCTATGGATATTGTCGAGAAGAGCTCGCGAGTCGATGTTGTAACATTTCCGAGCGACAAGTAGGTGAGCAGCACGCCGTAGTCTTCATGTCGTGTCGCTTTTTGCCCTTGACAAGCTTGGCCATGGTTCTTGAATTCTCTGCGGCTTCGAACCCATCCATAGAACATGTCTATTCCTTCCAGTTCAATGCTCATAAATTTGCCGTCGAAGAGAATAAAACCGCCGTCTGCAGGCCAATTCTTCGTATTGATCAGGGTGCGGTGGACGGAGGTATTGGTCGAGACCGGGGAAGGCGGCCGAGTGAGTCGGGCTCCACCGCCCGCCAATGAGACTGCCGCTTCTACGGCGCCGACGTGACCTCTCGGCTTCCATCATCATTCAACTTCAACCAACCTTATGGTATACGCCAGCCTCGACTCGCTCTTGGGTCTACGTTCCTACCTCAGTGCTCCAGGACTACTACGACTGTACACGAGAACCAAGATAATTTGACAGACACATCCTCACCAAGTCAACCGGACGTACGACCAAACGGAAAAGCAAACGCTCAACGATCACCCACAAGAACAACAATCATAACCACCACCACAACACCTCCTATTTGCAGTGTTTCAGCCCGTCTCAAAATGTCCTCTGCAGCCGAGGAGTCCCCGGCTCAGCGAGCTGCTCGCCTGCGTCGTGAGCGTCGCGAAGCCAAGATCAAGGAAGGAGGTGCCGCTCGTCTCGAGAAGATCACCAGTTTGAGTGGACGACCCCCCGCCAGCGGTATGTAGCTGTTTACCACCGCCACAGCCTACCCATGGTTTTCAACCCCCCGGCAAAGGACATAGCTAACTCTCCCCAGTCCACGAGGAACCCTCAGCATCGCCCAGCCCGCAACCCGAATTCCTATCACAACACACCGCACCGCCGCCACCAGCACCAGTCTTTCCCACCACAGCCCCAACCCCGGCCCAATCCCAAACCAACCCTCCTACCTTCCCCGACCACTCCCAGGCAGAGTCCGAACTCGATCCCGAGACCCTCCAAGCCCAACAAGAACTCTTCCGTGCTCTGCTCCGCCAACCGGCGCCCTCCCCCAACCCACAACAGCAACTCCGCGGTCCCGGCGGCGCTGCCGCCCCCAACCCAGCTGGCGACCTGCTCGGCCTCGACGCCCAAGACCCGACGCTTAAGCTCCTCAACTCCCTCATGGCCTCCAGCTCCGGCGGCGGCGGCAGCGGCAACCCCCTCGAGAACATCAACCTGGCGGACCTTGGCCTCGGCGACGGCAAGGAATCCTCCACCGACCTGCTCACCAACCTGGGACTGCCGCCGTTCCTGGCCAACCTGATTGGCAACGCCATGCGCAAGAAGACGGACGCCGAGAAGCGCGAGATCATGATCTGGAAGGTTGTTCACTTGGTCTTCGCCGCCGTCGCGGGGCTGTACCTGCTCTTCGTGCTGGGGTCGGCCGTGAACGTGTACGGGCGGGCGCCGCCGGCGCCGGCGACGGCCCGGGATCCGTTCACGGTGTTCATGACCGGAGAGGTGGTGTTGACTGGGGCGCGGGCGCTGTTGCGGTCGCGGGAGCAGGGGGGTGGGGTCGGGTTGGGGATGGGGGTGCAGCTGGTGCGGGATGTGATGCGGGACGGGAGCTTGGTGGTGTTTTTGTTTGGGTTGGCATCGTGGTGGTATGGAGAGCGATTGGTCTGAGCTACTCGTTGTGTGTCAAAAGACATTCTGGGATATAGGCTAGGATGACTGTAGAACTGTGGATTGTCTGTATACACGTGTGATTACTTCTAATGGTTAACGATTGATATCGCACGCGTAGTGATTATCGTAAGCATAAGCCATATGAGAGCAACACTGCGAAAGCAACTGCCACAGACCGGTCTCGTTAGTGGCTTTTCCCCTAACCACGCTGTCCACATCTAACCAACTAGGTACCCATGCTGTAGCCACACTAGCTGGTTAGTGCTTATACCAGGCCATCAAACCACAGTGCTGTACTCCGTACAAGGGAAGTAATGCAATCACACTGCCCCGAACCTCCAGCGGTCCACCCACCCACCCGCCAAAAACCATGTAATCTAATCTAAACTTCGCCTCCCCCTCCCTTCCCTTCCCGCAGGCGAATTTAAGGCATATTGATCCCTCGGCCGGACCTGCACCGACCACCACTAAACTAATCCTTAGTTCTTACCATGTGCATGTCCCCCTTGTTGCAATTTGCATCCAGGCTAGATTAGAGCATGCACTTCCCGCCCTTGGAAACTCCCGGACTAGTGCAGTACACCCACCCCTGGAGTCCTGGACCGTGGACAATGGACCGTGGATAATGGGCAATCAACAATGGCGTGAAATGAGACAACCACACTAAAGCCCTAGACTAGTCGGTGGACGGTGGGGAGCCTGGAGGAGCTTAGTTAGTGCCTTTCAAGTTTCGGCTGTGGACGGTGGACAGTGGACAGTGGACCGTGGAGTCGGACACCAGACGACACAGCCGGTCGCGGATTCGGGAGGAGGGGAAGGGGAAGGGGGGGCTTATAAAGATGATCTTAAGGGGGTGGGTTAGGCAAGGTCAAGACTCAGTACATGCTTAGTCTGGTACTTAGTCCAGTGCTAGATCAGTTACTAGTCGAATCAAATTAGTTTTATGGCTGATAGGAACGGATAGTAGAAGCGGGAATCCGACGTGCTTAGGTTGATTTAGCACGCATCGATCGGGACTTGGCCGAAGCAGGCAGGTCCTTTTCTTTCGTGTCAGAGTTTCGTTGAGACGGCAAGGAGAGGAGAGAATTTGACGTGGCATGGTGACAGTGGGCTCGGGAAATTAACTTGGTTCTTGAGTTCAACCTGTCAAATTGTCTGTCTCCGTTCAATGTGGGAGTCCGTGCTGGGGACTAAGGAGGTGGCGATCATTTCAGTTGCTAGCTAGTATCAAGTAGGGTCCGGTGGAGGATTTAGCCATGCATAAGTCTTATACTACGGCTCTGCAATATGTGTCGTGTAGAAGGGTGTTTTGGACTATATGACTGTGTCTCTCTTGTAGGTTGGGCTTATCGGCTAATCTTCTATATACTCCTGCGGTCCAGTTTGTGGTGTACAAATACTTTTCATGCGTCTTGCACGCTCTCCCTTGTGACGGAAGGGGTACTCTTTTATGCGCAATTCCTGGACTGATTCAGACTAGAAGACTATCGTGTTGGTATGACCGTAGCACAGTCGACCGGACGGGCTGTTTTAGGTCTAGAGAAACCCGACTTCACCATAGGTACATGATAAAGATCATAAAAATGTCGATGTCCGGAAGTATGGGTATAGTACTGTTTAAGTATCCGTTAAGCGAAAGCCAATAGTGTTTGATAAGAGTTAGCTCTTGAGACTCATGTTGTCCAGTGCCTTGAAGTAGGCTTCAGTCTAAATTAGGGCTTGACTAGATAATCAATACATAGTCGTGCACAATTCAATGTGGTCACATGACCTCGCACAGTCGACTTCTCCTGCGTTGCTTCTGAAGCAATTGGGGACCAGCTTGGAAATCGCTCAGGACACGCACTGTTGTGCTCTCCCACGCTCCGGGGCTGCCCTGTGAGTCAAAAGCG